AAGGTCATTAAAAAAAATATGAATGCAGCCAAGTTGCAGTCTGAAAAATCAACACACAAAAATTCGTAACATCTTAATATACATTGCCCAAGCAGCAACAGAAATTAAGAAAACAGCTCCATTTATGATCGCTTCACAAAGAGTCAAATACCTGTAACCAACCTCTACAAGGACATCTACAATGTGTCATGAAAGGACTAGATTTATACTTCACATGTATGAGGTAACAGGCATCAGGACCTACAGAAATGAAACACATTTGCTAATAAGAAAACAAAGGAAAGGGGAGGGAGCAATGTTTCTGGGCTAATGAATTTATTCCAGATGTTAACTCAAATTCACAAAAACAAATACAATATTCACAGGAAAAATAAGGTGGCCAAAATAGCAAGAGTTTAAGATATTTCCCCCCATCCTTTCTAACCTTCATTAAAAGATATAAAATTATATCCTATATATCTTTTATATATTACTTATTTTATAAGTTATAATTCTATATTCTAGGGTATATAACAGTTAGAGATATGTTACATATATTACAGTCATATGTATATAACATAGACATATAACATAAAAAAGGTGAAAGGACTAACAGAGAATATCTCCATAAAGTACTAAAGTTAACTTAGCACAAATATGAAGCTTATTCTCATTATTATGAAGTATATAGAAAGTCCTAAAGCAACTACTAAGGAAATAATTCAATATAGTTGAAAAACTTTAAAGAAATTAAAATTCTACATTAAAAAATATTCAGTTAGGAAGTCCTAGCCAGGGCAATAAGACAAGAGAAAGACATCCAAGGAATCCAAATAGGAAAAGAAGAAGTCAAACTATCACTATTTGCAGACGATATGATATTATACATAGAGAACCCCAAAAACTCCACAGAAAAGCTAATTCAACTCATCAATCAGTTCAGTAAAGTGGCAGGATACAAAATCAACACGCAAAAGTCAGTAGCCTTCCTATACACAAACAATAAATCTGAAGAAGAAGAAATCAAAAAAACCATCCCTTTTGTTATTGAAACAAAAAAAATCAAATATTTGGGAATCAATCTAACAAAAGAGGTAAAGGACCTATACAAAGAAAACTATAAAACACTGTTAAAAGAAATAGAAGAAGACACAAAGAAATGGAGAGACATCCCCTGCTCGTGGATTGGAAGAATAAACATTATTAAAATGGCCATCCTTCCAAAAGCAATATACAGATTCAATGCTATTCCAATCAAAATTTCAATGTCATTCTTCAAAGAAATAGAACAATTATTGATGAAATTCATATGGAATCACAAAAAACCCCGAATAGCCAAAGCTCTCCTGAAAAAAAAAGAAGGGAATGGAGGCATTACACTCCCAGACTTCAAACTATACTACAAAGCCATAATCATCAAAACTGCATGGTATTGGAACAAGAACAGACATACAGACCAATGGAATCGAATAGAAAATCCAGAAATAAACCCACAGATTTATGGTCAACTAATCTTTGACAAAGGAGCAAAGACTATGCATTGGAGCAAAGAAAGTTTGTTCAATAAATGGTGCTGGGAAAACTGGGTCGCTACATGCAAAAGAATGAAGCTTGACCACTACCTCACACCATACACAAAAATCAACTCAAAATGGATTAAAGAACTAGACATAAGACCTGAAACCATAAAATATATAGAAGGAAATATAGGCGAAACACTACATGATTTGCACATCAAAGACATCTTTACAAACACATCACCCAAAGCAGTGATAGTGAAGGCAAAGATAAACAGATGGGACTACATCAAATTAAAGAGCTTCTGCACAGCAAAAGAGACAATAACAAAAACAAAGAGAAACCCCACCAACTGGGAGAACATTTTTGCACCCAACACTAATGATAAAGGACTGATCACAAAAATCTGCAAAGAGCTGATGAGACTCAACAACAACAAAGAAAATAATCCAGTCAAAAAATGGGCAGAAGAGCTAAAAAGAAACTTCTCTGAAGAGGAAATGCAAATGGCCAACAGGCATATGAAAAAATGTTCAACATCACTTGCCATCAGGGAAATGCAAATCAAAACTACCATGAGATACCATCTTACACCAGTGAGAATGGCACATATTAAAAAAACTAGCAACAACAAATGCTGGCGAGGGTGTGGAGAAAAAGGAACTCTTCTACACTGTTGGTGGGAGTGCAAACTGGTCCAACCACTGTGGAAAGCTGTGTGGAGATTTCTGGACCTACTAAACATAGAGCTTCCATATGATCCAGCAATTCCACTCCTAGGTATTTACCCAAAGGACACAGAAACATCAATTCCAAAGAACACCTGCACCCCTATGTTTATAGCAGCACTGTTTACAATAGCTAAGCTTTGGAAACAACCCAAATGCCCAAAAATAGATGACTGGATCAAGAAGATGTGGTCCATATATACCATGGAATATTACTCAGCATTCAAAAAAGATAAACACATGCAATTTGCAGCAACATGGATGGCGCTGGAAGGGATCATGCTCAGCGAAATAAGCCAAAAAGAAAAAGAAAAATACCGGATGGTCTCACTCATAGCAGGAATCTAGAAAACTTAAATAAGGGACCAGGAAATTGAATAACTATAAGAAAGTGAAAATCAAAATCAACAAAAAACTATGAACCAGAGACACTTTTAGGGGGGTGGGGCGGGAGGGGAGGGATTGGGGTCAGAATGGGGGGCTGCAATTGTATGGGAATATAACAATAAAATTTATTATTAAAAAAAAAAAAAAAAAAAAAAAAAAAAAAATAAAAAATATTCAGTTAATAAAACAGGAAAAATAAAACAATAATAAAAACATGGGAAATATACAACACAGAAATTAATGTTGAAGTCATAAATCCGACTACATCAATGATGGCATTAAATGTCAATGAAGGGCCTCCCTGGTGGCGCAGAGGTTGAGCACTGGGCTGCAAAGCTGCCTGCAGCCTCTACAGCACCAGTTTGATCCCTGACTGCCAGCAAGTGTCCCACATGGCATGCAGACCTCTCCTGCTGCGTCCGATGCTCTCCTTAGCAGTGTACTTCAGCCGTCATCCTGTTCTGTTCCCTGCTCTGGCTCTGGTGAATTCTCTCACCTTCCTGCATTTCCGATTGTACCCAATGCTTGTATAAATAAATAAATAAATAAATAAATAAATAAATAAATAAATAAATAAATAAATAAATTTTTTTTTTTTTAAATGTCAATGAAGCAATCAAATTCAAAGGCAAAGAAATTTCTAACTGGATTTAAAAATCAAGGTGCAACAATATGCTGTCTTCAAGACACATGTCCATCAAAGATACAGATTAAAATAACATAGATGGAAAATATAAACTATGTAAAGAGCAACCAAAGAAAGCTGGAAAAACTATACTAACAGCAGACAAAGTTGACTATAAAACAAGTATTATCAATAAAGATAGAACAGAACAAGGGCCTCCCTGGTGGTACAGGTGTTAAGTGTCAGCACTATCAAACTATCACCAGCCACTGCAGCATGAATTCGATCCCTAGCCAGGGAGCTGACACACTTATGACACAGCAGACCTCTCCTGTCTCACCCACAGCTACCCTCAGCAGAGTGTTTCAATAAATCGGCCTATTTTGCTCCCCACTCTGTCTCTGGTGAATTCTCTCACCCCACCCCTACCCTGCACCCCTGACCTAGACCCCAGTTCTTATATGCATAAATAAATAATATTAATCTTTAAATAAAAAGATATAAAGGAAAATGTCATAACAATAAGTGTCAATCCACCAGGAAAACATATCAATTACAAATATATATGCAACCAATAACACACACCAAAAATACAGAAAGCAAAAATTGACAAAATAAAGGAAAATGGAAAATTCAATAAAACATTGGAAATCAATGTCTCACATTAAATAATGGATATAACAACTAAACAGTAGACATACAATATTTTTATTGTATTGATGGAATAATTGATGTAAAAATTGCTTGAATGGGTTTGTCTTGGAAAGACTGCAGAAGGGAAGGGCTAGGACTCAGCAGGAGTGTGTCTGTCCCTTGTTCCCTGAGAAGCTCTGTCTTCCTATGGCATCCCCACCATACCCAGAGCTCCAGAAGCAGCCATCCTATGAGCTCCAGGAGCAGCCATCCTCATAGGTTTTCCCGGAACCCTTGCATACTGCATGACCACCTTTGACACTGCTGACAGTGGAGTGGACACTTAGTGACAAGCACCCATTTCTTCAGAAGTGATTGGGTGTGGTCATCCCACATGTGCAGATGATGCTTTTGTTGAGAAGGAAGCTGCTGGGCCCCAGAAAGCACAGGACAGCTCCTGGCCTTTCCCAGCCAGTGGAAGTGACCCACATCCATCAGCCAGTCATCTGAGGGCTCCACCCACCAGCCCACCCACTGCTGGTTCAACCTCAAAACATAGTACCAGACCCACCCCACTCTCCCTGCAGATATGCTCAAAGAAACAGGGGCAAGGGCGGCACCACTCCCCCCAGGGAAACCAACATAAGACCAGAAGATGAAAACGACACTCAACACCGTCCAAGAGAAAAGCTGTCCCAGATGGACATTGCATTGTGCAGCGGTGTACAGGCAGACAGCTGGCCAGCCCACTGGCTGCAGGGGGACAGAGCCCAGGTGGGGCGTGTTTGGGAGATGGCCAAACCCTGGGACCGGGAACCTGCAAGCAACTGAGGAACAGTGGGCAAACATCTACGGCCAGTGTGGTGAGGGCAGTGAGATGCACCACGGGGGTCCAGATGGAGCTGTGGTGCAGGAGAGGTCCTGGTACTCAGGAGGAGTGGGGAGGAGAGAGACCTTATAGGATGAAGTCCATGGGCAGCAAGGTGATAGCTCCTGTCCCAGGTACAAGAGCACCTACCCACCTGGGGCCACGGGTCCCACTGAGGCTTCTTGGGAGTCCAGGAGTCCTGACTCAGCTAGAGTGCCCAGCACCAATGCTGGGCTATGAGAGGGAGCTGGCCGGTCTAACGTCTAAAAGCCTGGTCTCAGGTAGATCCAGGGGTGGGGATCCGACTGGAAGAAGGACTTGCACATGGTGTTAGCGCCTGCAGAGATTAAGGAGTCTCCTCAGGGCCTGCTTAACCTCAGCATTCCGCAGAGAGTAGATGAGTGGGTTCAGGGCAGGGCCCACCATCGTGTACATTACTGAGAACACTTTACTTCTATCAGAATCATAGCTGGAGGCCGGGCTGATGTAGGCACAGAACACGGCTGAGTAGTAGAAGGAGACCACCAGCAGGTGGGAGGAGCAGGTGGAGAAGGCTCGCCGCTTGCCCTCGGCCGAGCGGATGCGCAGGATGCTGGCGATGATGAAGCCGTAGGACCCCAGCGTGAGCATGAAGTTGATGACCCCATAGAAGGCGTCGGCCAGGACCGTCATGATGCTGTTGATGAAGGTGGAGCTGCAGGAGAGCAGGAGTAGCGGGGGGATCTCGCAGAAGAAGTGTGTGATGAGGTTGGAGCCACAGAAGATCAGACGCGCCATCAACCCGGTGTGCACGGAAGCGTTGATGGCACAAATGGTCCAGACGGCTGCAGCCATTACCCCACACAGCTGTGGGCTCATGATGGAGCTGTAGTGCAGCGGGTGGCAGATGGCCACGTAGCGGTCATAGGCCATGACTGTGAGCAGCAGTAGATCTGCAGACGCTGACCAGGCGAGAAAGAAGAGCTGGGCCATGCACCCCTGGAAGGAGATGGTATTCTCCGTCTCTGACACCAGGCCCACCAGCGTCTTGGGCAGCACGGACGAGGTGCAGATGACGTCCATGGAGGCCAGGTTGAACAGGAAGAAGTACATGGGGCTGTGCAGGCTGGCGCTGCAGCTGATCAGCACAATGATGACGGCGTTGCCCGCCAGCGCCAGGGTGTACAGGGCCAGGAAGCAGCCCAGCAGGGGCAGCCGCAGCTCAGGGTGCTCGGAGAAGCCCTGCAGGACGAACACCTCCACCTGCGTCCAGTTGTGCCCCAGGGCCCTGCCAGGAGAGGCCCCCAGGCCCGACTCCATGGTGACCCCTGAGAGAGATGCACAGTCAGCCTGCGCTCTGGGTAGGAGCTGCAGGCCCCTGACACACACACACCCTGACCCATGACCCCTGCAGCTGCTCCAGGACCACCTGGACTGCCGTGTGCCCTGTGCCCTGGGACATCTGTTCCACCCTACTTGCCCATTCCAGTGGGCTCCAGCTGTCCTCCTGCTCCGTGTCCTGCTCCCTGGCCCAGCCCAGGTGAGGAGCAGTCTGCCCACTGGGCCCTGAGGCCATCGCTGTGGGGCCCGCCACACTCCACCGAATGAGCTCGTCCCTGCTCCTGAGGGTCATGTCGCCCTGGGCTCGGCCCCGCCACTCCAGATGCACACACCTGTCTCTAGCTCCAGAGCTCTCCCCAGGCATCTGTTCCCTGTGCCCTGGGACATCTGCTCAGACATCCTTGCCCACAACGGGCTCTGGCCAAGTTCCTACTCCATGCCCTTCTCCCTGTCCCAACCCCAGAAGAGCAGCAGTCTGCCCACTGGGCCCTCCAGTCAATGCTGTGGGGCCGTTCATGCCCTCTGCGGGCTGAGCATGTCCCTGCTCCCAAAAGTCATGTCACCCTGAGCTCAGCCCCGCTTCTCCAGGTGCACACGCCTGTCTCTAGCTCCAGAGCTGTCCCTAGACGCCCGCCCCCAACCCCTCACTGAGCCCCAAGCACTCGTGTGACATCTCTGCCTCCATGAACTGCAGCCCCTTTGCGCTCAACACCCAGGGGAATGGTGGCCGCACCCCAGGGCAGGTGTGGTACCTCCTGCAGGCCCTGCCCTGCCTGATGCCCGAGCGGCCCAAGGGAGCAGGAGCTGGCTGACCCCTCACCCCTCAGCTCCCGCCATCCAGGCTCTGCGGATCAGCTGCTCAGGGCTGAGACCGTCTCTGCCGTCATCTCTGTCGGCTCCACGGGTCCCCACGGCCGGCTGAGCTTCCAACCCCTCTGGCAGCTCCCCCGCCACCTCGGCCTCCTCTGCACGCCAAGGCCCTGTCCCCCGAGGACGCCGCAGCTGCCTCCACTCCCACAGATCTCCACGGAGACCCCAGGGACTCCTCCAGCAGAATCTGGCTCTGGGCACCTCCCGCTGGACTGACGGACACTCCCGGGACATGTGTGAGCGCCTGACTGTGTCCATGTGTGTGGGGCATGGGGACCCCCCAAGGATGCCAACGGGGCAGAGCTGCACTCAGAAAGGACGGGAAGGATTCTGCTCGGCAGTGCGGCCCCATAGAGCCTCGCCCTGGACAGGAGGAGTCAGAATCCACAGGGGGTGGGGGGCGGCCACCTCTGGCTTTCCAGGGAGCTCACACACACACACACACACACACACACACACACACACACACAGGGAGGGGTCCAGGACCCACGGGGCAGAAAGGACAGAGCAGCGGGGCCTGGGATCGGGCAGGGGGAGGCCCCGGGCTGGGCGGCCACCGCCTTGTGAGGGGAACCGGCAGGGGCAGCTCTTCCCTGAGGAAGAGACAAGAACGTCAGCGACAACGATGTGTCCACGGCACAGAGTGTTGGAGGCTGCAGGGACGGCGGGAGCCGCCCCGGTCTACACTGCGTGACCGGGCTCGGGAGCGCGAGTGTCCGAGCGAGCGAAGGGCCCGCGGTCTCCACCGGGACGGAGCTGGGTTTCTCACACGGGACACAGAAGCCGAAGAACAACAGCTCGAGCTCAGGGACAACGGGGCGGCGTGGGGTGAAGACAGCCTCCGGGACGCCGTCAGACGCGGGGCCCCCGGGGCCCCTGGCAAGGCCGGCAGGGACTGCCCAGTCCCTCAGTCACAAGAGGAGACCGTGGACAGCCGGACACAACTGGGGGGGACACAGACAGACCCTCCAGCAAGGCCCAGGGGCTGCGGGCGAGGCCGGCAGGGTGGGGAGAGCGACTCCGCGGGGGTGGAGGTGCTGCAGGGGGAGGGGAGCCTGGGGTCCTGCAGGGAGGGGGAGCTCTTTTGGCCAGGCTCGATGGAGAGTGGGGTCATGGGGGAAGCGGGCAGCTCAAAGGTGGCCTGGACAGACACTGCAGCCCTCCATCCCCTCCTGACCCGAGGCCACATCGTCCTGGGTGACCCACCGGCAGATCCTGCCTGTTCCCGTGTGAGGTTTCACGCCGGAACCTGGGACTCAGGACGGCCCTTCTGAAAACGGAAACACAAAGTTCAGTCCTGGCCAGTGTCCCGGGCCTGCCCCCTGCTGGCAGGAGACGTGACCCCAGGACGCCCTAACAAACATGGAGCCGACCCCAAGGGACGAACAGGCCTCTTCCCCATGCAGGCGCTCAGTGTGGTGAGCGAGGGAGCTGGCCCTGGGCAGGGCCTGGACACTTGGCCGCCCTGTTGAGTGTGTGGAGGACACTGGGGTCTGCACGGGGGCACCTGACACAGCCTCCGGAGTGGCGGGAGGCTGACCAGACGGCCGTCCCCATGAGGCAGCTTCCACACTCTAGCCTGTCTGGGGCTGTGTCCTGTCTGCACGGAGGTGCCCCAAAGGCATGCAGCCTGGGTGGACACTTGGTCTGTACTGGACACACTCTGGCCCCTCCTCAGCCTCCCTCATGCCCTCCTCCTCCTGCTTCTCTCTGCTCCTATCTCCTGGCTGACTTAAGGCCCCATGTCTACCAGGCCGGGTTCCCCATGGGCAGCGGGGCTGCTGTGGGGTGGCAGCACCTCTGCTACTCCCTCACTCTGTGCCTCACCAAGTCTGAGATTGCTGCCGAGACTCCGATTCCCTCTGAAGCAGGACTCTGCTCCGGCGCACCGAGGGCAGGGCAGCTGCGGTCACTCACCTCTGCTGGCCCCGCGAGCCGGGCTGTGGCTCGTCGTGCAGCCCCTCCGTGTCCACCGTGCTCCGGTATGGACGCCGCTGCTCAAGAAAGCTCGGAGTCTCCAAGGCCGGGGCCAGGGTTCGGGGCGGGCCCTGGGGAGGCCACCGCTGAGGTGCTCGCAGGGACCATTAGCGCAGCTCGAGGCGCGTGACCGCAGCTTCCCGCCCATCAGCGTCAGACCAGATGCCAGGGCTGCGGGCCAGCCAGGCGCCTCCGCCATCCCCAGGGCGCTATTCTCCCTGCCAGCCCAGGGATTCTAGCGTGGCTGTGCACTCCCTGGCCAGGGATGGACTCAGGCCAGAGTGCTGGAAAGAGCTTGATGGCGCTGAGACTCAACCCCTGTGCTCCAGGGAGGCCCATGATGAGTCCTGATGGGATGTTCATCTGAGTTTTGCTGCTGTGGTTGTGGAGATTCTTTCAACTAGGACATTTAAATCATTACTTTTCACCCCATTTTTTACTCCCTCCATTTCTGGAGACACAATTACATATACGTTAGATACTTGGCTATTTCCACGAGGGTCACAGAAGATGTTCATTGTTTCCGGCTATTCTTATACTTGAGCATAATCCTAAGTAGATCCTGGTGCCACGTCTTCAATTCACTAAACTCTTCTTCTATCTTTTGTTGTTCCTTCAGTGAAGTTTTCATTTCAGGTATTACATTTTTCACCCTTAGAAGATCTTTTTGGTACTTTATTAAATCTTTGATTCTTCTGGTATGCACACGTCTTCCTTTAGCACAAGGGACTTACGTGCAACAGGTGTCCTGTGTCATCGCTCACCGACTTCTCCCCTGGGAGCTCTCTGTCACCCGCTGCAGCGTTTCCTGCGTCCTGCCCTGGGCTGGTGATGCTGCACGGGCTCGGGACAGATGGTTTAGGCTGCTCCGCGCCCACTGCTGTGGCCTCCTCAATGTGCACGACTCTTCCATCGGGAATCATAGACTTGCCGACTTGAGTTTCTGGTTCACAGTTATTTCAGCTGCCATCCAGGGTGTCTGGAGAAGTCTTTCTTGTGTTGCTAACTTCACCTCACATCTAATGTGCAGCCCTTCTGGGTTCTCTACTTAATGCGTGGAAGTTCCCATAAACCATAAGATGGACACACACCGCACAGACACAGAGACAGAGGAAGCCCTGAGACAGGCCAGCAGCTCTGGTCTCCAGGGCAGCAAATCACGCCAACACTGGAATAAGGAGCTCACTTTTGCTTTGGAAGCTTAGCAGATGGCTTGTGAAAATGACTAATTTCTTCATTGTTTACGTTCCTTTTCAAGGCAGGATTTGGAAATTTTCCCAAATAGCCTTTCAATTATCAACCCCACTGGCCAGGCTGATTATCTGCATCAGCAGCCCAGAGGGCTCACGTATTTACATAACATTCAGTTTAGCATTGCTATATCAGAAAAGTGAAATAATCTAAATCCCCATCAATAAATACAAGTTGAGGGCGTCCCCTGGTTGTGCAGGTGGTTGAGCACAGCGCTGTGAAGCTCTCTGTAGCTTCTACAGCACCGGTTCGATCCCTGCCGGTGAGGGTCCCACATGGTGGGGCAGACCTCTCCTGATTCACCCTCTGCTCCCCTCAGCAGTGTATTTCATCAGTCTGCCTGTTCTGTTCCCAGCTCTGTCTGGTGAATCCTCTTACCCGCCTGTGCATCTGGCCTGTACCCTGGTTCTTGTATAAATAAATAAATATAAATAAATAAATACAATTTAAGTTGCATTACAAAATTTGGAATGATACAGGTCTATGAATGTTGATACAAGCAACTCCCCAACATTTATTTAAGGAAGCCCAATAGAGATCCTCAAAACACGAGAACAGAGTGGGCTGGGTGGTCTCTCCCCCATCCTGCACTGAGAAGAAAATGAAACCAGCAGAACTAACGAAGGATGAGTGAAGGGTTTGGGGCAGAAACAGAAGCTCCCTGGGGCCGGTTCTGGGGCTGCAGACTGAGGGTGGGCAGTGAGGACGTACAGGGGGTCGTAGGCAGAGTAGGCACTGGCTTGGGTTCAGCTGACCACACTGAATGGTCAGAGGGCCCTTTGGAGAGGGAGGGACAGAGAGGTACATGGTTGTGCCCAGGATGTGGGGGCAGGTGGGTCTCTGCATTGTGGGCTTGTCTCAGGGGTGGTGATTGTGGTAGG